AAAATGTCCTGGAGATTGGCTACACAACAATGTGAATGAACTTAACACTACTAACCTGCACATTTAAACATGGTTAAGATGATAAATTTTCTAATATATGTATGTATTTTTTAACATGTCTAATTTGTTCTAAGGCCACATTTATGTTTAATATCTTAGTATAATATCAGACACAAATAAGAGTAAAAATAGAATCTTCTCAAGGCCCTAACCCAGGAATACACATAGTCCTACAGAGGAAAACTGTTTCCTAAAAAAGAGGATGCTTCCAAAGAGGGCAGAAAATGGTCTACAAGCCAAAATGTTTCAGAGTAAGCTTGTCCAAGCTGCAGCCCTGGGGCCACATGGGCCCAGGACAGCTTTGAATGCAGTCCAACACAAATTAGTAACCTTTCTTAAAATATTATGAGTTTTTTTCACGATTTTTTTTTGATCATCAGCTATCATTAGTGTTAGTGTATTTTATGTGTGGCCCAAGACAGTTCTCCCTATGTGGCCCAGGGAAGCCAAAAGATTGGCCACCTTGCTTTACAGGAATAAGTTCATATCTATTATATAAAACTATATGTTATATAGTATTATGTAACATAATATAGAAATATTCATAAAGTAACATTAAAATATTTTATAATATTCCACCAACTAACAGCTTTTGAAAAAATTTATTTCAATTTTGAAAAGACTTTAGAACGGGTAAAGGTAAAGAGCTCCAAGACCACTAATCATCTGTAGGTGGCAGTAGAAGCACAGTATTTACGTCAAAGCAGCCCTGAGCTATCAATCGGTATGGAAAACTGGAGACCATACGTAAGAAATCTAGATCTATTTCATGTTCAAATAAACTGTGTGAGTACTCCTACATTCAATAAATTGCAACTAGCTTCTCTGATACAAAACCTTTTTAACTTGCCCACTTTCACTTTAAAACCTCTACACAGCCAATCCCAATCTACCTATTTCTTTTTGCCTCATTATTTTATTTGATATGTCTTTGTGATTGTATCTACCTAGAAACATTAGCCATTCATTTTTTGAGACATGGCATAACCTTTCTTACAGAAAAACACAAACACCAGTCGAATCCATATGCCTGTTAACTGAGGGCCTGCTGGGTGAAGCACTACTCTAGATATCCTGAAACGTTTGAAGATGCACGTGCCAGGTCCTTGTTCACAAGACACACACAAAACGAGAACAAGAAGAAAAGGGGTGAAAGTGCAATCAGGGATCAGTACCCACACGACTGTCAAAGAGAGATGTGTCACAGATACTTCAAACTCCAGTTCTAAAACCTGTAGTTACTGATCCTAAATCAAATGTTCCGTTCATGTTAGAAGAGCAAACCCTACACCAGAGGCAGAAAGATGTAAGCCAAGGGTCTGAGACCCTTCATTCCAAAGAAGCACAGCAGCAGCTGGCCTGGGGGTCTCAGGGTGGTCCTGCCTGCCTCCTTCCTTCCCTTCTCTGTTAAGACTCCCTCTAGACTGTGTGGCTTGCTGAGCGCAAGAGGCTGTATGAGCTGAAGATCACAAACTTCTCATAAAGTCTACCCATACAAATAATATTAGCAATAAGAAGATAATATTGCTGCAAATATTCAACTGAATGGAGCACTAGTTTTATTTTATAAGCATACAAGGGAGAGTTCTGGTAAACACCTCGTCTGAGTAACCAAAATCAATGCAGTTTTATTACCAAGGAAAAAATAACATGTCTTCCTCTGTAGGTTGATTATAATGTCTTCAAGAGGTAGACATACATGCTGAAGAACAATAAAATAATAATAATAATAAAAGATGGCAAAGATCAGGAATTAAAGTGACCCCATCAGGGGACTGAGTGCTTTGCATTTAGAGTAGGCCCAAACTTCAGCAGACACATTCTTGGTTTTCCTCCCTGGGATGAAGACTCAGGAAATGAATCCTGGACACATTTAGGCTTCCATGCAGACTCCTGCCGGCTCCTATCCACAGTCCTACAGAAATTCAGAGGAACACCAAAGGTAAATACTCTCTGCAATGGAAAGAGTTGGGGAGAGGAATGCCTTCAAATTACACAAGGCTGGAAGTGGATGACCCCAAAAAGAAGGCCTCACCCAACTTCCCCTAGGGAGAGAGACCATCAGAGAAATGAGCTAACAGGGTTAAGACAACGTGGTCAGTAGTGGCACAGACTGGGCTCCTGCACAGCTATCCAGTCCCAGTCTAAAGACAGGAAAAATATAAACGTGCTACAAAGAAAAAAAGGGGACAAACGAGGCCGAGAGAACTAGTACTTAGTGTCTACAGCATGGACTTCACACAAGCTATAAGACAGTTTTTGAACAGGAAAGGTAACACATATACAGAAAAGTGCAGCATGCCAGAAAATCCATTTGCTTCTTTTCCCTTCCCTAGCCTGTTCTCTGTCCCAGAGGCTGGTGGGTCCAAACACCATGCAAAGGCTCATGGCTCCCTGGCTTCCAGCTAAGTCCTGCTAACAGGAGCCTCAGGGGAGATTTAGGCCAAGAGGAACCTGAGGTCAGGGTGTTTATTTCCCTGGTTCCTTCCTGTAAGGGAACCTCAGGCTCACCGTCTCTCAAAAGAAAAGCACTGCTCCAAGGCAGCTGACTTGACTGGAGTCTCTCCTTCCAAGTTCTAGTAATTTCTCCCTCCCTTGATCTCTTTGGGCCTAAGGGTGGTGAGGGTAAGAAAAGCAACAGCTCCAAGATCCTGCTGTGCAGATGATGGGGGCCCCCTCCTTACTATTACACATGCCCACACCCCACCCAAAAGGTTTACCACCTAAGCATGAATTCCTAAGCACTGTATTTTCATTTCGTCTGCTTTTTGAAATTTATACAAATGGAATCATATGATATGAATTCCTTCATGTCTGGCTTTTTCAACTTAACACTAGATTCATGAGATTCATCCATGCTGTTGTATCTGTTCTATCTATCATCAATTGTGATTGTGACTGGCACTCCACTCTATGCCTACACCACGAGTGACTTATTCATTCTACAGTTGGTGAACATTCAGGTTGTTCCTAATTTGTTGTTGTTGTAAATAATGTTACCGTTAACATTCTTGTCCATGTCTCCCGGTACGCAGGATGTGTTTTGCCTGGTTATAGACCTAGAAGTGGACTCTGAGTCATGGAGTGTTGGTATCTTCACTTTAATACTTAATATTAAACCGTTTTCCATGTTTAAACTCCCACCAGCAATGTTCCTTGTTACTCGATATCCTCATCACTCAACATCCTTGCCACCACTTTGCATTATCTGTCTTTTTCATCGTAGACATGCTGGCGAATGGCTAATACCTTACTGTGGTTTTAATTTTCATTTTCCCAATTACTAATAAAAGGTTGAGCAGACTTACATGTTGCTGACCATTTGGATCTACTCATTCTTGAGCGCTTGTTCAAGTCTTTTGGCCACTAAATGGCAGAGATCCCAGACACCACAATTAACATGTACAAGCTGCCAGAATCCAGCTATAAAACCTTTCCTTGAGAATATCAACTCATTAGCACGAAACAGGGAGATAAAAAGATGGCCTATTCCCTCAGGAGACTGTTTGCTGTAAGTCAAATTACCATTTATGATGATTCTCTATTAAGTAGGGCCAACTTCAACAATAATTACTAAAACAAAGTATAATATCATAATGCAAAATACAGAAAGAACATACACTCTGAGAGTCATGAGTAAATATTTCTGGGTCACACCATGTAAACTACATACTTTACAGTCGGCATGAAGATTAAATTAGCTCAAGCATGTGAGGCTCTCAGAATCATGCCTGACGGTCACCTCTGATTACCTTTCATAATTTAGGTAAGAATAATGGCAGAGATTATAAAAAATCCTAAGTAACTTGTCTTAAACCAACAACCCTCAACCTTACAGGTACTTGGTTACTTTTACTATACAGATGGCTGTGTACTAAAATCATCAACCACACACACTATTATATAGGTTTGTGTTTAAATAACCTGATAACACATCTTTTGTTCCTTTACCAATTCTGACCCGCCACAAGTCCTTTTTTTTTTGAGATGGAGTCCTGCTCTGTCACCTAGACCGGAGTCCAGTCTCAGCTCACTGCGATCTCGGCTCACTGCAACCTCCACTTCCCAGGTTCAAGCAATTCTCCTGCCTCAGCCTCTTGAGTAGCTGGGATTATAGGCACACACCACCATGCCCAGCTAACTTTTGTATTTTTAGTAGAGACAGGGTTTTGTCATGTTGGCCAGGCTGGTCTCGAACTCCTGACCTCAGGTGATCCACTCACCTCAGCCTCCCAAAGTACTGGGATTACAGGCATGAGCCACCGCGCCCGGCCCTCCTCTTTCTTCTGAAATGCACTTCCTCATATTACTAGGTGTTAAATATACAGTGGTTCCCCCTTATTCTCAGGGGATACATTCTGAGACCTTCAGTGGATGCCTGAAACTGCAGATAGTACCAAACCCTATACTTACTATTTTTTTCCTGTACATACGTACCTATGAGAAAGTTTAACTTATGCATTAGGCTTAGTACCCTTGTGTTTTGGTACTATTATTAAGTAAAATAAGGGTTACTGGAATACAAGCACTGTGACACCGTGACAGTGAGCCTGATCACCAAGGTGGCTATGAAAGTGACTAATGGGTGGGAATGTCTACAGTGTGGAGACACTGGACAAAGGGAGGACTCATGTCCTGGGGAGGAAGGAGCAGGACAGTGAGAGATTTCATCATGCTGCTCAGAACGGCATGCGATTGAAAACTTATGAATTGTTTATTTCTAGAATTTTCCATTTAATATTTTCAGACCACAATTGACTGAAGGTAACTGAAGCCTCAGACAGCAAAATTGTGCATGAGGGGACTACTGTATACGCATTTCCATTTGCACCTCTGGTAACTATGAGATCAGAATGTGCAGTGGAAGGTTGTGTGCCTCACAATAACCACGGAGTTCTACTCAATCTGCTGCCTTGGCGACTCTGGATCTCTGTTCCGACAGTACAATGTCACATTGCAGACTCTTGGCCTGGGGTCCCATAGGACTTCAGTGGCTCCAGGACTGATTTCACTGCCATCACTTATATATGGTTAGATCTGGGTTCAACTTGTTTGCTGTGAGGTAAGTGTCTGAACGTCTACATGTCTACAAATCTTTAAAACTACACACAAAAATTGCTAAAGACAAGAAATTTGGGAATATTAAATTTACAATACAATTTAGGAAACCAAATAGAGAGGAGGTATACTAACTGGGTTAGAAGATTATAGCTGTAAATTGTTGGGACTTAAGAAAAACCACACATTTAGACAAATAGTTTCTCAATCTTCTTTACCCAGAAACTCTTACTATTCAACATATCTCCCCTACACCTGCACCAAAAGAGCAGTCAGTTGAGATACAAGTTTGAGAAACAGAAAGGAGGGGACAAAGATTGGAGGATGTCAAGGCTAAAGGATAAGCCTCTCCTCTAGTTCAGAGCACTCTTTGTCTGCCTCACACCCTCTTCTCCCTGGGGACTGGCTGTGTGCTGACTGTCCCCATGCTGGGATACATGAACAGTAACAACAGTGGACCCCTGCTCCCTGCACTGATGGGAGGCAACAAGGATAAGCTGCCCTCACACTTGCTATGCTAACAGAACAGGAAATATTATTTTACCTGTGGCATAGACAAATGTCTAATATAGAAGCATGTTTTATAGTGGGAATTTGCGATACAGATCTATTAACTACATGCTTTCTCATTAAAAACTGGCTTAACTGAATTACATTCACTCAAAAACTGGTTTCTAGTGCTAAAATCAAAATTCCCTTATGGCTTTTAATATTGAAACCAAAACCCAAAACTGCAGCTAAAACACATTATTTGATAAAGCAAAGGGAATCTTGCAATCTCTGGGAATAAGTAAAATCCCTCTTTTGCAAGTGAAAAATTTCTCTTTCACTCATATTCCAAAGTAAGTGAAAAAAAGCCACATGAATGGTGCCTGAATAAGTTCCTCTGTTTGGAAAGAAAAAAGAAAAAAATCATTACGTTCAAGGGTTAAAGAAACTTGTGTCTACACCATACAAGTTGAATGCTTGACTCATTGTTTACTTACTGTCAAATGATTTGGGCAGTTTCTTTTCATGATAACTCCCTGCCAACACAAAACCATTTCGAAGATCCAGGAGCACAGAAAATCGGGGTCAATGCTACAGGGCTCATGGGTTGCCGGGGAAAACTATAGGCCTCAGGCCGTTGCCTAAGTCTCCCCATCTCATAAGCTAGTCAAAGTGTCCCTGCCTGCTGACTCGAGACCCAGACATTTATCCATTCCTCCCCCAACCTCTCCATTTCTTCACCTACTTGTTCAGTCAGAAATTCAACCAATATGAAATGCCTCTTCTCTACACACATATGCAACACATGCCAACTCTCAAGGAATGCAATTTAGTGGAAGAGAAAAAGCAAGTAAATATGCAGTAACAATGCAAACATGTGCCACTACAGGGATAGGTACCAAGTGCTAAGGAAACCTGTAGGGATGAACGACCAGCCCAGCTTCGGATGGCAGAGAAAGCTTCCTGGAGAAGGTAGTTACAAGAATAAAGAGAAGCAGGCCACGCCATCAGGTGGGAGACAGTGGTAAGGAATGCCACAGTGGGTGGAAGAGCATGTGAGAGGCAGGAAGAGCAAATGTAGCCAGTCCAGAGGGCTGGAATGGAGAGTGAGATGAGGAAAAAGTGAGAGTTCACCCCAACCTGAAGCCAGGCCTATGGAGAGCCCTCAGGTCTCCCGGATGCCTCCTCTAAGGGCCTGGCAATTCAGAAACAAGAATGCCCCTGTGTACCATGAAGAACGCAAGTCTTGATGAGAGGACTCTTCCAGACACATGCCATCAATGTATCTGTTGATTTTAGCAGCAATGGGGAAGCTAATCAATACTTAATTTTAGAAAAGTAGTAAGCTATGTGAATAAGGCAAAGGACAGATTAGGTCTGCAGGCAGGCAGATTTCTGTCCAGCTGAAATATCAAACTCCTGTGTGATGTATGAAATACAACATCACATATAAAAAATTGATGAACGTAATTCAGCCATAAGAAGTCATATCTAGTGGACAGATCAATATAATCACCTTGGAAGAAGTTATTACAGTGGGAGAAACTGGGCCTGGCTTTACCCTGAGTTCTTAAGCAAGGAACTGGTCTACAATTTCTTCATCCACACAAGAAATAGTTGCTATGGTTGTCTCCAATACTGCTAAAACCCATCATTCTGGCATTGCGATTTGATAAAATATCAAAAGTATTTTATCACCAGAGACAAGGATTTAAGTAACTTTTCTAAGCCACAGACTTACTATGGTTTTGTCTGAGGAAAAAAAAAAAAAAGATGGACCCCAAACTGTCTAAAATTCAAAAAACAAATATATTTAAGTTCATGAACCTTTTAAAAGTTGACAAACCATGCAAACCAAATATAAAGATAATTAAAATTTTAGGATAAGCAAATGAGAGGATAAATTTTTTTAAGAAATGAGAAAGTAAAAAAAAATTAACCTAACAAGGCAGGCAGTGATTCGTTGCTCACTTCCCTTTCTGCTGGTTTCATTTCCCTTCTTAGGTGAAAACACTCCTAATATGTAAATCGGTCCACTAAAGACTTCAGAGTCCTTTCTGTTAAGATTTGCAGAAATTTTTATGCAAAAGAAATTATTTCTAGACTTCCATGCACTAGAAAAGCAGACTTACAAAATACAGCAAACTAAAGTGGATAAATGTATGTGGCAAACCAGAAGCAAATAATCAAGGATCCTACTTTTAAACATTTAGAATTGTTTAAATAGTAAAAAGTGGAAATGTGGATATTCTATGATTTTTAAGAACTTGGTAGCAAAAAGTGAGACTCCATTTAGGATTACCTACTAAGTGCCAGGTACTACGTTAAGCACTTGGGACCTTTCTGGTTTAGGGCCCTCACAATCCTGCTGGATGGTATTCTCTCTATTTCAACTGTACAGAAATGAAGTAGGAACAAAGGGTTAGTCAGAGTGGGCAGGTAACTAGACAAAGTCACACAGCTTAGAAAAGCAAAGAAGCTAGACTTTAAACCCCCTTTTACTCAATATCAAATCTCCTTCTCTTTCCATAGATGATGCAGACTTCAAGCATCAAAGTACACAAACTGAAGAAACTTCGTCCTTTGTATATAATTCTCTTAAATATATGCCATCATTTCAAGGGGAATTTATGCTAAGTGTGACTTCATAAACAAATCATTTGTGAGAGAGAAAAACCACATCCAGGGTAAAGTCATAAGGTGAAAAAGCCTATTTCAGAGAGCACTTCCTGAAAGAGACAAAGCAGCAATTACAGGCAGCCCAGCACCAACTCCCATGCCAAGCATTACACTGGAAACTACTTTTTAAAGCAACAAAAGAGTCTAAAACAAAATAAAACATTTCTTAAACACACTGTTTCCAGAAAGAGCTATTTTAACAGAAACAACTCAAAGATATCCCTTCGACAGAAGTGGAAGTGCTGAAAAATGTTCATCTCTCATACAGACTTCTGATGGACAGGAGGTAAGCAGCATTTAATTAACTTCACGATTATTGTCAAAAGTAATGCTTTATGTACTATATTTCAAAAATCATTTCATTTTAATAATACAGGCTGGGCGTGATGGCCCACACCTGTAACTCTAGCACTTTGGGAGGCCAAGGCAGGAGGACCAGTTGTGCCCAGGAGCAACATAGTGAGACCCTGCCTCTATAAAAAATAATAATAATAATTAAAAAATAAACATAAACTATGTCAGTGAAAGACCTTGAAATAGGCTATATAATCATCTTTCCACAATATGATTTTACATTGATTTTCAATATTGCTTTACATTAATAGTAAATGTAATTTTTTTCAACTTAAGGAAAGAAAATGTTTATGGTAAATCATATGTATATTTAGAAATGTTAATCACATGGTTTCAATTACGTTGTTTCATGAAATAATGGTTAAGAAAAGAAAAGCTACAAATAGTCATGGTATCTACAGCTTTTAAAAAGCTGACTTTAAAGTCAATCACTTTTCAGTATTTATCCAAAAATTTCTGTGTTTGCAGAGTACAATCAATACTATAATGCCTTTAAAACATATGCATCACTCATTTTTTTTCAAACTTGAGCAAATGAATACAAGTATTGGTGACAAGCTACATAAAAACTGCTTCAGCATAACGTGGGAAAAAAGACTCAAGATGGTTTGTAAGTACAGGACTTATGTCACAAAATTAAATGATGAGGATAGGTGAAGGGAGTCCTGATGCAATACTAAAAAAGAAAAACAAATACAAAATTTCATTTATATTATAATTGCTACTATTTAAGAATTCATTCCAGTTAAACATAAGATTTAAGCCTCCATGATTACTCTCCTTTGAATGATACTAGAGATATAATTTTTCTCTGTAACACTTTCCTCATTTGATAGAAATTAATATTCTAGTCACACCAATATTTGGAAAATTTAATATGTTTTTAAATATATAGAATTATACTCCAAAATCATATTTAACCTAAATATTTGAGAAGGAAAGAAGAAGGGAAGAAAGGGAAGGGGAAGGAGAAGGAGAAGGGGAAGGGGAAGGGGAAGGGGAAAGGGAAGGGAAGGGAGGGAAGGAAGCAAGGAAGGGAAGGGAGGCAGGGAGGCAGGGAGGCAGGGAGGCAGGGAGGCAGGGAGGCAGGGAGGCAGGAAGGCAGGAAAGCAGGAAAGCAGGCAGGCAGGCAGGCAGGCAGGCAGGCACGTTTCTTGTGTTTATCCACAGCAATTGCTCAAGTTAATTTTTAATGATCAATAGCCCATGATGCCACTCACCACAGACAGCAAATCTCCCCCACAGTTTTCCTTAAAGAGAAATTCTGGGCTGATTTCAAGACAGCCCACTCTGCAAAGTGACATTTTTGAAGGAAACTTTTCATCCACCTCTGTATTTCAAGGGGATGCCACAGGTTCCATCTCATTGCAGCAAAGTCTATTTTTAAAGTCTGTTGTTGGTGTTGCATCATGGGGGAGTGAAGTTTCACACTGAGGAGTCAATGATATTTGCAACCCCAAATAATCTCCTTTCCATTTAAAATGGGCAGGTTTTTTTTTTTGGTGATGGAAATTTGTTAGTTTCTACATACACATCAAGTTACTGAATGACTTCTTATTAATATCTACTTGTCTTAGATACTCCTTATTTGGATTTACTTTGAAAATTTTTTTAATTTAAATAATATTGAAGCTTCTGAATCTAGATGGAATGAGGATATGAAAGTTACTAATAGCACTAGCTTGTTTTCAAGGTGCTGCTTTCTGTGAACCACTGAAGTAGAGCAGCTGAAATCACAAAACTTGGAAAACTTGGCATTACGTACTCCCAATTGTGCATTAGAAAATAGCTCATCTATTGCTCTAACAGTCTAGTTCTTGATCTGCTGACCATGGCACAAAACACTGCTGTTTCTAGACCTATGATAATTTAAAGAGAACATAAGGTAATAAATACTATGAAGTGTTTCCACTTTAAAAAAACAAAAAGTTTAATAGCCAGCTACACAAGTCTTCATTTTCAAACTAGAGATTTACAAACTAGAGTTTTTAAGCAAAGTAGAGTTGCTGTGAGTCATCTCATCAAAAGTTTCTTTCTTTATTTATTCATCAATTCAGTAAATATGTATTTATTGAGTAACTATTACATGCTCAACAGACAGTAGGGCTGCAGTTGTAACAAAGGAAAAGTTCCCATTCTCTCTCAGATGAGAACTACTGTGAATGCTCAGTAGTTAACCAGCCGAATGGTTCCTTGATTAATTTTCCACATGTTTCTATTTACATATTTTATATATTAAAATTGTGTTTAATGAACAAAAATACATTATTTGGACATTACTCATCTGGTTGCAAAATATTTTAACAGAATGAAGATGATAAAAAGTGGCAAACAATTGTATTAAGAGTCAAAATTCAGAATCACCTTTTCCCAATTAGTCCAAATTAAAGGACACTTATTACAGGAACAACTGCTACCTAATTTCACACTATAGGAAAAAATTGTAAAGAAATAGTTATTCTTGTAGGAAGAAGGGAAGTGAGCAGGAAGAGAGATGAATGAACTTGCCCAATGAATTATGACACCAGGATCATTTTAATAGATTAATACAAATTAGTAATAATCTCTAGGGAATGGATTCCTTAATAAATACTAAGACACATAGAGTGAGTTTAACATAAAATGCTCTCAAACTCAAAATTCACTGGCAGTCAAGCTGAGTGGGAGAATGTTAAGCATTTGTTTTTTAACCGAGGATTTTATTCTTATTTTTCTTAACTATTCTTATTTTTCTTAACTATTTTTACAGTTTCTAAGTATCATGCCCACCAACAAGCTGTAAAATGATCACCCTGAACAATCAAGATCAACCTGTCCCTTTTAACAACTCACATCCAGATGAATACAAAATTGCAGCCCTTGTCTTCTATAGCTGTATCTTCATAATTGGATTATTTGTTAACATCACTGCATTATGGGTTTTCAGTTGTACCACCAAAAAGAGAACCACTGTAACCATCTACATGATGAATGTGGCATTAGTGGATTTGATATTTATAATGACTCTACCCTTTCGAATGTTTTATTATGCAAAAGATGAATGGCCATTTGGAGAGTACTTCTGCCAGATTCTTGGAGCTCTTACAGTGTTTTACCCAAGCATTGCTCTATGGCTTCTTGCCTTTATTAGTGCCGACAGATACATGGCCATTGTGCAGCCGAAGTATGCCAAAGAACTTAAAAACACGTGCAAAGCCATGCTGGCGTGTGTGGGAGTCTGGATAATGACCCTGACCACAACCATCCCTCTGCTATTGCTTCATAAAGACCCGGATAAAGACTCCACCCCCGCCACCTGCCTCAAGATTTCTGACATCGTCTATCTAAAAGCTGTGAATGTGCTAAACTTCACTCGACTGACATTTTTTTTCTTGATTCCTTTGTTCATCATGATTGGGTGCTACTTGGTCATTATTCATAATCTCCTTCATGGCAGGACGTCTAAGCTGAAACCCAAAGTCAAGGAGAAGTCCATAAGGATCATCATCACACTGCTGGTGCAGGTGCTTGTCTGCTTTATGCCCTTCCACATCTGTTTCGCTTTCCTGATGCTGGGAACGGGGGAGAACAGTTACAGTCCCTGGGGAGCCTTTACCACCTTCCTCATGAACCTCAGCACATGTCTGGATGTGATTCTCTACTACATCGTTTCAAAACAATTTCAGGCTCGAGTCATTAGTGTCATGCTATACCGTAATTACCTTCGAAGCATGCGCAGAAAAAGTTTCCGATCTGGTAGTTTACGGTCACTAAGCAATATAAACAGTGAAATGTTATGAATAATAGAAAGGTTCTTTATCTCAATCCCATCAAAATTCACTTCACTAACTACTCTGGCATCAATGGATATTCTGTAAAATATATCAAGTCCCTTTTCTCTTGAAAAAAATAAATTCATTATCTTCATTTTTAAAACTTATATAAAACATTTTTGTGAATTATTCGGAGAAAAGCATCTGATTTGCCTTTCACAGTCAAGTCTTATTTACACAGATAATTAACTTTTTGCATTTCTATGTGCAAGTGACACATGTATGTTAATCAAGTCAGTAGGGGGGAAATCAAACTACCATACAAAATAATTTGATTAAATTATTTTCTATTTAGATGCAGCTCCCTTAGGTCTAATTTGCACTAGGAATGGAATTATAAATCCAGTATTTCATGTCCCAAACACCGACTTCCAGAATTCCTATATAAGAAATTATGCTGAACTCATTACTGTTACTTACTACAAGGTAAAATTAACAGGAACAAGAACCCAAGGGGCCTGTAAAGGCCATCCCCATCAGCCCTTCCCTACTCTGAATTCATCCTTTTGAAAACAGAGGATAGTCATTCAAACACTGAGAGCCTACTATGCACCAAACCCGATTTAGGACTAATGATGAAAATCTAATCTGAGATGCTATTTCTATCCAACAATCCAAGTTCATTTCTATCATCTATCTACTATATGGTGAAATGCCATTCTCCAATACAAACAGTTTGTTCTTCTTATGTGGTTAAAGATCCCATTTTTACAAAAGAGGTTAATTGATTTTCTTCCCAGGCCATATGTCACAGTATAAATAGTACTATGGGAACCTTGGATTCTTAGCCTTGCCATTTAATTTCTCCTAATAAAGTAACAAACCAAGTAACTTATCCATCTAACAGAAAAAAACTGAAGTATAATCGGTAAAGCCCCTATTATTCTTAACACTTATGGAAGTAAAATAAATGATTCAACTATAACTTCCTCTCTGCTAAATTATCTTTATCATTCTTAACATGATCATATCCTACTGGGGCTTAGAACCAAATATATGCATTGGTTAGAAATTTATTTCTGGCTGGGCATGGTGGCTCACGCCTGTAATCCCAGCACTTTGGGAGGCTGAGGTGGACAGATCACTTGAGGTCAGGAGTTCGAGATCAGCCTGGCCAACATGGTGAAACCCTGTCTCTACTAAAAATACAAAAATTAGCCAGACATGATGGCAGATTCCTGTAATCTCAGCTACTTGGGAGGCTGAGGCAGTAGAATAGCTTGAACCCAGGAGGCGGAGGCTGCTGTGAGCCAAGATCGCACCATTGCACTCCAGCCTAGGCAACAGAGTGAGACTCTGTCTCAAAAAAAAAAGAAATTGATTTCTAGAAATAACATAGGTAAATTCATATTATTTAAAAATAAATAAATAAATAAACACAAAAAGTCTAATCATAAAATGGCATTTTTGCACTAGACGGTCCCTTAGACAATCTTCTTAGTACAATTCTTCTGTTCCAAATATAAAAAACTGAGGTCTGATGAGGTTATGTGACTTGCTCAGCTAAAGAACCACACCTAGAAACCAAAGTCAGTTCTTTCATGTCGAGCACCAATTTTTCAATAATAAAAAGCAAACATGCTTAAACATTCTCAGAGCTACATAAGGTGGTACTGAGATGCAGTTTCTCAAAAAAGAGAAAAATACAAAGTTTTTAGTTTCAATAGTCAAACGATTAAAATACATATCTTTATATACTTTATATACATAAAATAAGTATCTTTATAGATATTATATCTTTATATATTATTTATATATCTTACATATATTTAACATATAATTATTTCTAAAACAAGAAAAACAACTCTTGTATTTGACATGTAAGTTTATTGTACACATATACATAGTCAGAGCCTACTCTCAACCATACAGATGAATCTACTCTTAAATGTGTTAGATGGAAAAGTTATCTGCCAGAGCTTGTCTTGATAAGAAGAGTTTAGTCTCAAAGCAAAAAGCACAACAAAAGATTCTATTGATACAAAATCAACAAAGTGAAAATGTATGCTGTGATTCTCACAATAAAATTGTAAATAATCTAAATTATAATTTAATTGTAGATCACTTAAAAGTTATTTTTAAAATAATTTACTTAGCATTATAATCAAATATATTTTAACATAATATGTAAAAATTCAAAATTTCACTGTATTCTGGAAAACAATGTAACATCCACATATAAATACTAACAAAAAATAATAGGTATATAAGGCCAGATGTGTGGCAGGAATGAGTTACTAGAAATGCCTAATACATATGGCTTTTAATAATGGAGTTATCTCTACTTTCAAAACCTAACGGTTACATTTTCTGAGTTTAAATCATAGTCATGAGCATCCATCATATGTCAGCTACAATTTCTATGCAAAGCACTGGAAAAAGAAATGAACAAGTCTGTGGTTCAAAGGCCTTCCCTTACAGTCTTACTGGGGCTACACTGTAATCAAGGCTTGCTTGCCCTTCACCATTACTGAATGCAGGGCAATGAGCACATAAAGTGAAACTTGGTTCTCCCTTAAAGAGTCAGTGGGTAGCCTAGGAGGCACAGACAATGACAAGGTAATATAATAAATACTAATAGAGATAATACATGTGCTGTAATACACATATAAGGGCAATCCTGCCAAAGGGCAAAAGGAAGCAGAAAGCAAACCAAGTAGGCATGAGAATGCAAATGCGTAGCAAGCGAAGAAAGCTGGATGACCACTTGGAAAGTGGTTTGAGACTAGCTGGTGGTCAGATGAGGAGGGCTCTGAAAGGAAAGAAGAGCTGGGCATGGTAGCACATGCCTATAATCCCAGCTACTCAGGAGGCTGAGGTGGGAGGACTGGGCTTGAGCCTAGGAGTTCAAGGCCAGCCTGGATAACATGGACCTTGTCTCTTAAGAAAAACAATACATGGAAGGGGTATACGCTTGTTTCTAGAAGCTTGATGTAAGAGAGCTTCTTTAATTCTCGGGGCTACCCTTTGAAGCACAGAATACCCACCGTTGACATGTGAGGGTCATCTATAAACTGAGCTCAGGAAATGGAGCTTGAGATAAGTAACTTGCTCAAGATTTCACATAACTAGTAAGTGGCAGAGCTGGAATCTCAAATCTGCTCTGTCTGATGGCAAAGACTGTGCTATTTCCACTATTCCAGACTGCCTGGATAGCACCTTGGAGGAATCTGACTTTTATTCTGATGGATATGAGAATTTGAGGGTTTTTAAAAGAACTAGTGTGGTTAAGCCTGCATTTTAGAAAGATAACTTCTGACAGCATTGTATGGAATGCTTTGAAATTCACAGGGAAACTAGTTAGAGAATTACTGTAAAAAAGTAGACAAGAAAAGATTTAAGAGTTGAGACTGGGATAACAATGACAGTAGAAGTAGAGAAGAAGGGATGAATGAATGAGTTATTCAGGACTTTGAATTATTAAGACTCAGTGCCAGAAGTCCTAGCCAGAGCAACTAGGCAAGAGAAAGAAAGAAAAGGCATCCAAATAGGAAAGCTCAAACCATCTCCCTTTACTGACGATATGATTCTCTGCCTAGAAAACCCTAAAGACTCTGCCAAAAGGCTCCAGGAATCGAGAAACAACTTCTCTAGAGTTTCAGGATACCAAATCAATGAAGAAAGATCAGTAGTAGTATTTCTATACACTAATAACTTAGTTCAAGCTGAGAGTCAAACCAAGAACAAAACCCCATTTACAACAGCCACACACACACACAAAGATACCTAGGAATACATCTAAGCATGAAGGCAAAAGATCTCTACAAGAACTACAAAACATTGCTGGAAAAAATCAAAGATGGCCAGGTGTGGTGGCTCACGCCCATAATCCCAGCACTTTGGGAGGCCAAGGCAGGCTAGGCTGATCATGAGGTCAGGAGATCGAGACCATTCTGGCTAGCACAGTGAAAACCCGTCTCTACTAAAAAATACAAAAAAAAAAAAAAAAAAATCGCCAGGCATGGTTGCACGTGCCTGTAGTCCCAACTACTCAGGAGGCTGAGGCAGGAAAATCGCTTGAACCTGGGATGCGGAGGCTGCAGTGAGCCAAGATCGCACCACTGCACTCCAGCCTGCGTGACAAAAAAAAAAAAAAAAAAAAAAATGAAAAAAGAAAAAAAATCAAAGATGACACAAACAAATGGAAAAAGCATTCTATTCTCATGGACTGAAACAACTGATATCATTAAAATGGCCATACTGTCCAAAGCAATCTACAGATTCAAGGCTATTCCTAGCAAACTACAATGTCATTTTTCACAGAATTAGAAAAAATTATTCTAAAATTCATATAGAACCAAAAAAAGAGCCCAAATAGCCAAGGCAATCCTAAGCAAAAAAGAAAAGAAAAGAAAAAAACAAAGCCAGAGGCATCACATTACCCGACTTCAGACTATAAGGCTACAGTAAGCAAAACAGCATGGTACTGGTACAAAAACAGACATATAGACCAGTGGAACAGAATAGAGAACCCAGAAATAAAGCCTCACACCTACAGCCATCTGACCTTCCACAAAGTTCACAAAAATAAACAGTGGTAAAAGGATTCCCTATTCAATTAATGGTGCTAGGATAGCTGGCTAGTCATATGCAGAAGAATGAAACTGTACCCCTACCTTGCACCACATACAAAAATTAACTCAAGATGGATTAAAGATACAAATGTAAGACCTCAAACTATAAGAATCCTAGAAGAAAACCTAGGAAACACCACTCTGGACATCGGCCTTGGGAAAGAATTTGTGACTAAGTCCTCAAAAGCAATTGCAATGAAAACAAAAATTGACAAATGGGACCCATTTAAACTAAAGAGCTTGTGCACAGCAAAATAAACTATCAACGGAGTAAACAAACAACCTATAAAAGGGAGAAAATACTCACAAACGGCATCTGACAAAGGTCTAATATCCAGAATCTATAAGGAACTTGATTCAACAAGCACAAAACAACCCCATTAAAAAGTGGGCAAAAGGCACAAACAGATACTTGTCAAGACACACAAGCGGCCAACACACAAGAAAAAATGCTCAACGGTAATCATCAGACAAATGCAAATCAAAACCACAATGAGATACCATCTCACACCAGTCAGAATGGCTACTAAAAAGCCAAAAAAACAACAGATGCTGGGG